CTTACGTGTCTTGCCTGTACAAATAAACATTGATATTTTTATTAGTATTATTATTTTATTAACGAGCATGATTTCTGTATCCTTTTAAAGAACAGGACTATTCCTGTCTCACGTGTGTTAGCTGTGCAAATAATTACTTTCATTAACTTTTATTATTGTTATTAAAATTATTTTATTAACGAGTATGAGTTCTTTAGCTCTTTAAAGTTCTTTAGAAGGCATGAAAGTAAAAGGAAATACAAGAAAATGATTAGCTACTAGGTGACATAAACTTTAAATAATTTTACCTTTATAAAATTTATATAATAGATGACATGAACTTAATTAAAATTGAGACCATAACTAATTACTAAAACGTGATATGATTGATTCGTTAATTACGATACGTGAGTTGATAGACCGCGGAAGGAAGGTACCATCGGATCTAGAAATCTTAATAAGAAAGAGGATGAGGGCAGTCACCCAGGGTGAGGGGGGGGGGGGGAATGTCCGATCACGGGATCGAGGCGCGTGATCGAGAGCGCGCTTTCTAAACCGAGAAGTTAAATCTCCTATCGGTAAATCGTCTGGCGATTACGCGGCGGGGAAGCCCGAGGCAGAGGCCGAAGGCAGGGAGGGACGGGCTTGCACTTGCACTGCGTGCGCTAGACGATTCGTTCCGGTTCGAAGCCGTCGACAGTAGTATAGTTCCTTTCTCCGGAAAATCCGGTCGCCCGGCAATTGCGACCCTGCTCGTCGCTGCTCGAAGGAAGGAGGAGAAGGGTGGACAAGCACGGTCAGCGGTGCGGCGGTATCCTGCGAAGGACGGTGAATGAAGAAAGAGGCACGGAGAGAGGCCGATAGTATTCCCTTGGCATGAGAAACCTTCGCCTCCCGTTCCCGGACGTCGCCAAATGAATTCGTTCCGAATGCAATTCGCAATTTGTCGTTAACGCGCTCGCGAGACAAACGCCCCAGAGACTGTTGCGTTGTAAATGCTCATCGCGGTGTAATTAAGTTCGAGCCTCGTGCAACGGCCACGTGTCACCTGAATAAGAATGCTGTGTACCGCCGTCGCGCTTCTCCACTGAATAAACTGTCGCGCACAGGCCGGCCCCGCGATCGATCGTTCGCCTTCCGAACTCAACGCGCCATACGCCGTTGTTACCAATTAACTGAAACGATCTCGCATCTCGGCTTGTATAAAAACGGAAATTACAACCGTTTCACACGACTCTCTAATTTCTATACAAAACAGAACAACGGTCAATTGCTCCGAGTTACGTGGACACAATTATAATGTAATAAGTAATAGTAATGTTGCTTCTCAAACGTTTTATAATCAAATCGCTCGTTTATTCCGGAAGATTAAAATTTAATTGTGTATCTCTAAGATATAGAGGGTACATTTGTCTCAGTTTACGCGACAAATTGTAAATTGTACGCGGAACGAATTCATTCGGACACATCCGTAATGGTATGAGGCGAGCGTTTCCTCGCACCGAGATAACTGCCGCGCCGTGTTTCACTTCCATCTCTTCTTCCTTTTTTTTTCTTCTTCTCTTCTCCCCGTCCGTCTGCTATTTTCACTTTATTCTTTTAAAATTTCCCGACGAAGAAATTTCCTTCAACACCGATCATAGAACAACCTGTTTCACTCCCTCTTTATACCCCGTTTGCTTCATTTCAGTAACTGGTTATATAAATAAAAGCGTACTTACATAATGTTATGGATGCTTTTCGTCAACATTTACAAGTCGAAGAAAGTCGGGGCACAGGTTCGCGTTACATGGAAACGTATATCATTAAGCGTATCAGATTCGATCTAAAACACTATTTATCACGCGTCGGTGATCACGGAAAAAAAGCAAGTACAGATCTCAGAGGATATCGCATCACTTTAACGATTCCACAGACGTAATACAACACGCGTGTCAGAGTAATATCTTGTTCCTCGCGGTGTAACCGTAACGTAACGCTTCGAACGTAATTCGTTGCTCTATTTTACATTGTAGTCTGCCAATTGTAAGAAACTGTCTAAAACTGACCCATCCCATTAAAAGACCCATTAAAAGACCCATAAGTTCCAGACAGAGAGTTATTGAAGGACTTCAGGTTATTTTTGGCTAAACTGTCCCAAAAAAGGACTATAGTATGGCCGCCATTTTGGGACCACATAACCAGGAAAGACAGTAAAGGCACTGGCCGTTCACTCGGAACATTTATAATCGCCTTGGTGTCCAAGTGCCATGAAATTCTTACGCGATTTTAGGTCGTACCATGTAGTTGGGTACGAAATTTACAATGTAAATCTCGGTCTCGGAGTTTTCACCGATACTTACCGGTCGGTTGAGTCACCAGGTGAAATTTTAGGTTTACCGGATGCGCGACGTGGAAACCAGTCACCGAAGATGCTTAGCATTCTTGTTTTAATGATGATCGTTCACTCATTTTCCCTGACCTTCTTGTTAATTACGAATGTTTGGAAGCTTTGTAGAAAACAGAAGATTATTAGGTACTATGATTGATCGTCGTTGTTTTGGGCATTATGATGAATCGATGTTAAACGTGTGCTAGAATTATTAGGGTCAGGTGTTTCAGGAATTTTCAGTTGCAGTATTTAAGATATATTTGAGAGTCTTTATGGAAAATAGAAATTTATGATACATCGTTGTTATGGGAATTCGGATAAACCATTATTAAATGTGTGCTAGAATTACTAAAGTCAGAGGTTTCAGGAATTTTCAGTTGCAATGTCCTTTCGGATTTTTAAGGTTGATTTAATGACTTCATTTTAATAAAATGAAAACATGTTCCTACCTTCGTTCTATCTATCGAGCTGGTTCCGTGATTTCACCGAACGAATGTCAGGCGATCTCGAGGAGAACGAAAGAAGAAAGTCTTCTCTCTCTCCCCGTTCGCGAGATGCTGCCGCACCTGCGCGCATTCCATTCCGTGACCCGAAAATTTTTAAAGTCTTCCATACGTTCAAACTTGACCGTGGCTGCCACGCCGATGTCTCGCCGCGTGTTCCGCGGTACCTTCACCTTGGCCGGATCTCCGCGCGGAGGGAGGAACGCGCGCGATTACACGCGGCTTGCTCCGCGGGCCTTGAACGTGAAAGGGAACCAGTCGACACCGTTGATAATAATGTCTATTGAATATTCAGTGGATGTTTCTCGGATTCACGCGAGCCCAGCGTGGCTCCGCGTGAAAGTGTCCCAAGATCTTCACTGTTTTTAGTTCATAGTGACAGTGATGATCGATTATTATTAGATTGTTCAATGATTATTCTCATGAGAAATCCGTTCTCTCGAAATCGTCGATTTCAAATTACACCGGAGAATGTCGCTGGGTACATTAGTTGATTCACTCGATCGTTACTCTCGTGAGAAATGCGTTCTTCTGAAATCATCTGGTCATCGATTTCGAATTACTCCGGAGAATGTCGGCTGAATCAGGGGGACCGAAAAGGCGCAGTGAAAGTTGGGACACGTGCTTTGTGATTCATCGCTCGATACTTACCTCACAACGAGGAGGTCACAGTCGTACTCGGTTTGATTTTGATTCACGAAATACCGGGGTTATTCTCACTTACGTCCGGACTCGAGTCCGGAGGCTGTGAAACAGGTCGCGTTTCTATTTCATTGTGCCTCGCGCTCTTCACTGACGTGAGAATCTCATCATCGTCGTATTGTAATTAACTATTTCAACGAAGCTTCGGTCTAATTGTATTGTAATTAAGTATTTCAACGAAGGTTTAATTGCAAGTACAGTGTTGTTCTTTGAAAGCCAGATCACTATGGCAATTAGTCGACGTGAGTTTATTCAAACGTTTGCCATTCAGCATGACACGAACACACTTTTTTCTTTGCAACATTTATTCCCGATTGCTTAGATATTAATTGGGGTATGTATCGTTTTAGGGCTTTAGGTAAACAGAGAATCAAAGAACTAAAGATTCCTTAATAAAATTTTTAATAATTCAATAATTAGAGTCTAAAATGTACAATGGAAACATTTAATAACAATTGTTAACATTAACTCAATATAACAAATTGTTGAAAGGCTACTACAAATAGGAGAATGTATCACTAGGGATGTTGTAACACTAAGATTTGGAACGATCGATTCTTTCCTTGTAGACACGTGTATTCTCTTCGAAGGTAGACCAGTTTCTGTCCCAATGGACCCAATCCTAGATTCAATCCCAGAAGCTTCCTGTCAGTATTAAATTGATCTAATCTCCATTCTTCTTTACAAAAATTCTACTAGGAAAATATTAGCAGTTTTCCACTAATTAATATAAGAGCAACCCATGAGGAAGGACGTCGTTGCATGAGAAAGTATCGATACAATTTTGCATGACCACATGAGTGATCAATACGCATCGGTTGAACACTTCCGAGCGCATCTTCGCCGGCTTCGGAGAGTTAGCCTACTTTCTCTAGAAAGAGAATTTTAAACCAACGTACGAGTGGTACCCACTCCCTCATCCTGAGCATCAGCACCAGCTCTCTTCCTCCCTCCAACGTACCTTTCCCTGTCTCCCAGCCCGAGGAAGGGAACCTCTCTCGGTCACGTCGTCTCTCTTCATTTGCTTCTCTCATGTTCCCTCACTCTCTCCTACGGTCGACGTAGTTTCCTCGATTTACTCAACGGAGGATTCCTCCAGACTGGTACCCCTCACGGAGTCTATATAAGCGGAGTGCTCGTACGGGGCCGAGTATCTTTTGTGTTTGTTGCGACGGAGTCGCGGGACCTCCTCCGAAGAGGTCGACTTGTGTTCCCGGTTTGACGAGTGTCACGATGGTGTGCGCAACGCGACGTCAAGCTAGATCCGCGTTCGATTGAACCCGTCGAAAGTTGAAACCGCGGCGCGCCGCGTCTGTTTACACTGGTGCGTCGAGGAACGGGGAGACAGGAGAAGAAACGAGAAGAGAGGAGGAAATAGAGTCGAGAACACCTTTGGTAGTGTCGTTTAACTTGTGTACAGTGCCACTAGCGATTTGCACGCGACCATGCTTCAGAGCAAGGTAGGTGATCGAGGAGTCCCCAACCTCTTCGAGGTATATGCATATCTCGATTGTTTCATTCATCGATTGTGTATAGTGTTTGTTCGGTCTTAAAGATGTTCGTTCGATCATACGAAGTTAGAACGTGATACGACACGGTTCTTCGAAGTTTTATTAGGGGACAGAATCTAATAGTGCGGTAAAGCAGAATGTCAACTGGATTGGCCAAAAATATGGGCCATTCGAATCCACGTCTTCATTTCCCAGAGAATCAACACAAAAATCGTTTTAATGATTCGTGGGAAGTACATTTCAAAGCCTTCTGATCAGTACTCCGGGAGATTATGCCGACCGCATTGGAAGTTACGTTAAATTAAACGAATTTTGTGTTAATTCTTTAAGAAATCGAATTATGTTTATATTTTCCGCTACTTTTTTTGCCTTCTCGATAAATCGGAAGAAGAGAAGCCGAGAAAATAGAGGAAGAAATGGCACGTGGCTACCCTAGGCGCTTTAAGGGGGGACAGTCCGATTGGGGGTATTCGATCGTCGTCAAATTTCGCACTATTTTTACCTCGTTATCAATACAACAGCAAAGAAGTTTATTAATTCGGTGAGAAAATGACAGAAAAGCCACATGGCTACCCTAGGCTCCTTAATTCGAGGTGATTAAGCCTGCGATCTCTGATTGCGGCACTCGCGGACCTGTTGCAATTGACCGGAAGGATTCGTCATGGAAACGGTAGTTCGTGTCGCAGATGCGATTTTCTCTCTCTGGTCGTCTGGGAAAGTTGTCGACCGCTAATCTTCTAAGGATTCTCTCAGTCGATGATTTTTCAACGGGAGCCTAAGCAGCGTCATGCAGCTTTCCCAGATATTTTATAGATTAATCATGATTACACTATGAACTTCATATATTTATAGAAAAATAGTACGTAAAAAATTATACATAAATCAGTTTATGTTCAAGGACACATAAAATATCGAGGGCGAAATCATGATTTTTAAAATACAAAAGGAATTCCTGTTTAGATTTCATTTTCTACATTGACATTGCAAATGGTTTATTTTGGATAAAGATCCGCAGTCTAATCATGGCAAATGATACAACTATTAAATAACATTTGTAGGGAGGTCTGGTTTAAATTGAAAAAAAATTGCTAATATTTTTGTAAAACCCATTGCTAAATTTTGTAGGACACTACTAAATTAACGTATTCGCTGTAACGTATGTATCTAGCGTACGCATGACGCGATTTCTAAATGTAGAGTAAAATAACTGCCACCAGCATTTGAGATACGTTTGAGGGGTAACGGTAGATAAAAGTGAAACGAGTAGATACATAGATCAACGGTACTATTTTTGTAGCGTGAAAGTAAAACAATTTTTTAGCTGCTCGTATCGAGCGCGGACGATGTTACAGTTACCCGACACGCTGTTGCATCAACGTTACGAGCGTAACTAAACGTGATGAAAATGATTATAGCCTCAGGTTTAATTAACGAAAGTATAGAAAGCAGGAATTATAGTTCGACGTTGCAGTGATTGAGGGATAATTGCAGGCCACCATTTGGCATTAAAATGTAATTAAAGAAATTTAATAAAAAAATTATTTCAATATTCTCTTAGATAGAAAATAATTACATGTTAGTGCAGATTGCTAAATTGGAATCCGAATGGCATTTACATTTACTTCTTATTCAAATTCTCGTCTATCTATAAATCGTCAATCCTTTCAACATTAAGACTTTATTAGCCGTACTAAGAATTTCGTCATCCACTGAAGTGTTGAGAATTCCATCATCGAGAAATCTACTTTGACCCCTAGAAATTGTGGGTCACACTCCTTATAATTGTCACATCTTTCACCGTGAATTATTTACGTCTTACGACGAAATTGCAAACGTCTTCTGATACGGAAGAGGTATGCACGAGGTGGGAAAAGTGGAAGGCGAACTAAACATCGGATTTTCGAACAAATCGTTCGATAAGAAGCGATGCCTTACACCGCGTTACGTGCGCTCCGGCTACGTGGCCGGAATATATGACTATGCATGGAGGAGGTGTTTGACCTAGTCGCAATCTGCCTACATCGATGCAACCGTCCGTCCCCCGTACCGGTTCCGACCTACCTGTAAACTATTGCACACACGCGAGACTACAGGTTGGGCCTCAACAAGTGGGCGCATTATACTATATACACAGTATCTCAGTTTTAATAAAAACAATTTGCGGAGACATTGGATAAAATGAAAAATATAAGCGTAGGACATGCGACTTCGTGTTTGTCTTCGCGTTGCGCTTCTCTCGGATGCACTTGGGAGAAAGTATTATGTTAACCTTGCAACTCGGTCAGTGTCCCAGTTCAGAGTTGCAAGGATTTCTAGACAACATTTGCTACTCGTACAACCGCTACTATTATTTAATAAATTGTTTATCTCTTAATTTAAACTATTTACTAGTTATCGTTACATTTATTTTGTGTCAACGCTTCGAATCTTCGCCTCGAGGATTGCAAAAAGAATTGACTTAAGAACGTACAGGGAAACCCTTGACCCTTACATCAAGAACTATCATCCCAATGTTATTATAAAAATTTCTCTTTTAATTTCAGATTTTCATTATCCTGTTCTGCGTCCTGCTAATTGAGTACCAGGCTCAAGCAGTGGTTAACAAAGCTCAATCGCAGACACTGGTTACAAAGGACGAAGAGAAGAAGAACGAAATTAAAGCCGACGACAGAATAAGTAACTCCTACGGGCCACCTTCTGATGACTATGGACCACCGATTGGAATTAAAGGACCAGCGCCTGTTTACGGGCCACCGGAATTAGTCGGTGACCAAGGCCCAACGCCTATATATCCGCCACCACCACCGGACGTACCCCCGCCTCCGATCTACGGGCCACCATCGTCCTACGGACCGCCGCGAAATATTAAACCGTTTTTCGGTCCACCTAAACAAAGTTTCGCTCCCCCATTGTCCTCTTTGCCGTCGAAATTCAGTTTTGGATCGGTGAAGCTTCATTATGGGCCACCGAAGCAGCATTATGGACCGCCATATTCGTTCAGGCCGCCGAAGATTCAATACGGTCCACCATTAAAGTTCACTTCGTCCCTTTCGAATCAGTTTTCAAGTTTGGGAGCCCCGAGTTTCGGATTAAGTAAACCAATACATGGGCCCAGTGTTCCAGTGTCTCTCGATGCTTACGGACCCCCGCAAAAATTGGCTGTTCAATTTAACTCGCAGCCAAGTGACGATTATGGTCCACCGCCTGCGCTGTCTGTAGCGCCTGAGGCTCAGTACGGGCCACCCGCTGACCTTTACAGGCCTCCGGTGGTTCCGCCACCAGGAGTATCAGCGCCACCAACACCGCCTGACATCAAATACGACGGCTGGCAGCCTATCGCTGGATTAACTAATCAACAATCTGGGAATTTCGGGCATTCCGAGGAGCACAGGGTTTCGGACACCTCTTCGCATGTAGCGAGTGACTCTTACGGAGCTCCGCTTCAGAACCCCGAGGATCACGATTTGAAGAGTTCAGTCAGCTCCGGTGATGACGAGAAAGGACTTCCACCGCCACCGTTGCCCGAATACGAACCGTTCCACAACAATATTCCACCGAAGAATCCTGAAAAGCTTTCTCAAGGTCAGATTAACTTGCAGTACGACGTGCCTAAGGTAGAGCCGCTTTCTCTCGTGAAAACAGTCGGATTCGAGTTGCTCCCTGGCGCACAGTTAACTTCGGATCATAATACTGGATTACCGGTATTAAATTTGCCAGTGTTTGATCTTGGATCGCATCCGAGCTTCGGCACTGCAGAAGATTTCTCGCAAAAAAGCACGCTGTCGAACAGCTATGGTCCACCTGTGTCTAACGGTCCGTTCGGAAAATTCAATTCCATCGAATCAGGTGTATACCTGCCTCCAGTGCTTGACTCCTACAGCGCGCCTCCTCTCTCGTCCTATTCATCTAATGGCCCATATCCAGCCGCGGAGGCAGGCCGCGCGTCATCATTCTCATCCTTCGGACTGCACGGTAGCTCGCTTTTCAAACAAAGCATACATCACCATCGCCCGATCGGATTCAGACCGCCGCCGCTTCCTCCCGGCTCCCTGATCCCACCCAGAACCCGCGACGCGATCAAATTCAAAGAACCGATCCCCAGCGGGCTCTTAACTAATCTCAATCGCTACTTGCCTCCACTGAGACACGCGGAATTAGTCAAATCGCCAAAGACGTATCATTCACCGCTGTCGTTCGAGCAGCAGCTGCCGTCACTCCATGCCCCGATCGCTTTCAACAAACTAGCCAACAGCTTGCATTCACCGATAGCCGCGCCGAACGCGCAGTACGGGACACCCCTGACGTTTAGCGAGTTTAATACACCGGCACCGGTGCTGACGTACGGAGCGCCTAACTTCGGACCCGCTTCTTCCTTCGTCTCCGCCGGGCACAATTTATACGACAGCATCAGTAACGCTATAACGACTACGTACGGCACGCCGGTGGTGAATATACCGCTGTCGACAGGTGACGGTCACGATTGCGGCTTCCAGCATTCAGCTCCTGGCACGCAGTACAGCTTTCAGGACACCAGAAGCCATGCTCCTAGCTTCGGAGCCGCGCTGGGTCCAAACTTTAAGGCTGAATCGTTGAACGTTTTAGGAGGATCAGGAAGTATCGTGCCGTCGATAAGTCAGCTGAGCTTGGAGAGCTTCGAGCAACCGAAGACAAACCTGAAAGACAGCTATGGGATGCCGATAGGTGTTCATGAAACTGGGGACAACGTTCTGTCTAGCGACCATAGCCAAGCTGTTGAGACAACAAACGTTCTATTCGCTCCAACCTCTACGCAATCTCAAGTCTCGGGTTCTCATTACGAGCAAGAAAGTAGCGGTGCTAGGGCTGAAGCCTTGACTCTCGAGCAGAAATATCAGGCGAAGAATGTTCCGAACAATGTGGATGCTAGTCAATTTCTGAATACCCAGGAGGGCAGCGAGGCTCTGTCGTTAGCAAAGGGACTGACAACCAGTGGAGGCGATGGTTTTGAGATCCAGGGTTCCAAGGGTACATACACTCTTCAGATCCAAGCTGCTGATGGGGGACTAGGAACGGAGAACTCTGATGGTAGCATCAGGCATGATCAGGTGTTATCAAATGGACTCCTGCAAGATATTCTTGCGGCCATCGAACAGCCTGAACGGGGACAGGTTCAGCTTCAGGGCCAGCCTGAGGCCCAACCGTTGCAGCATGTGTTTAGTAGCGACGCGTTGCAGTCCGCACTTAACGACGTTCCTAAAGGACATTATATTACGGTGGATGAGAAGGGAAAGGATATCGATGAATTAGTGGGGCAAGCTAGCGAGAGGAACGGGAGTCAAGTCGATAAAGAATCTGCGAAGCAGGAGGCTATTGCGCTTTTCTTCAATAATCAATACGGCGACGCGAGGAAGGAGATAAGGTCGGTAACGAAGAATGAGAAAGTAGTTTCGTCTGCAGATGGGAAGGATGAAACGAAGTCCTCTTAAACCATTCTGGTTGTTACGTTATTTAAATTGATATCGCAGAAGTTTGTATTTAAACCCACAGTCTAATTAGGAACTATTTAATATAATATCTAGACTGCGGATGTTTATGCAAATTTCTATATTTATAAATAAAATTAAAGAAAAGAAACGCTCATAGGCTGGTATTCAGAGTCGTTGTTTATTCTTAAGATCATCTTAAGCTTTTACTATCTTTGTCTATCCCATATTTCCAGTCCCTGTCTTGTACAGGAAACAGGGATTTAAGCAAATGCTTAAGGCGATCTTAAATATAAGTAACGACTTCGAATACCGACCATAGACATTAGTTTCCTCTCCTAAAGATAATGAAATGTATCTTACTTTGGGTATTTTGTATTACTGTCTTTCTGTGAAGTGTTTAAAATTCCCATAAATGCACAAACATCCGCAGTCTAGTAATTTGAAAGTGATAATCGCTTGTTACCTAGAGATCGATGATCTTACGAAGGAGAATGGTTTTATTCATTCAAGAGATACTCGTTTCTCGGACACAAGAATCATGTAGGCGTCAAGCGTGTGAACCTCTTTCTTTCTCTCCCCTCCTTTTCATACGAGACTTGACGTCCCTTATCGGAGCTTAATTGCGACGCAAGGTGATGCGCGAAAGCTCAAGCATTCTTCAGTTTCATACGAAGCATAAATTTCCCGCCCTTTTCATTCGAACGGCTCCTCGTACGATGGAGAGGTTACTAAGGCAAGTAAAAGTCTCAGATCCCATTTGGGGTCGCCGGACAATCGTGTCACGGCCATCCGTCTTGCATGCACATAAATAGAAGTAATATCTCTGTTTATGGAATGTGCGATTGATCATTCGACGCGGCGCCTAATACAACAAATCCATGGCGTTTTGCAACAGTCTTTGGATTTAGGTCGTGGCGATTAATAAATACTTGCCGTTCGTGGAATAGCAGGTGAGAAAGAGGTATCGGTTAACTTTCATCGTTGCACGTGATCGGGCTGATCGCCTTTCTTTCTGGCAGCCCGTCTGCTTACGCTTGCACGTGTTTCAACCTTCACCGAGGCGAAAGTTCAGAGCCTCGTTTAGAACAGCTCCGCGAGTAATGATACCCTCTGCTGCCTTTTGCGGTAATCTTGTCCAATCCCTACCTCCCCGCTCCCCAGGGAAACGCACTGCTCGACTCCGTTCGAACGCGATACGCTCGGTTTTGCATACCTTTGTGACACGATAACGCGAGTAAATATGCATACGTCTAGTCTGTTGTGTCTCTGCTGAAAGAGATGCACCTACGGTGCGAGCTAGTAAACTAGAGGGGAGCGAATTTTTACCCGGCTTAGATCGTCCGAACCGCGTTAATCGCGTTGGAAATTGGGTACGCGCGTGTTTTGGTATTCTAGTGATCCGTTATTTAATAGAGCTAACTCTAAATATCTATAGGGAAACTTTATAAAGTGATCTCCCATTAATACCCGGACGCGTTTCGAAACTGAGCTTTTTTCATACTCAAACACCTTAATCTTTTGCGAGAAGTTAGAAGGAAATGGAGTAGGGAATAGTAAATAGTAAGTAATGAGAATTAATCGTTTCAATTCTTCTTCAATGGGAAATCAAAGCTTTCGTCATTTGACTCATTACGTAATCCCAAACTACTTAGCATATGTTGAGTAGTGACAATCAATCATTTAAATTCTTTTCCAATGGAAGAGCCAAGCTTTTGTTATTTCATCACGTAATTCTAAGCTACTTAGCATAAGTTGAGTAGTAAGTAATGAGTAGTGAGAATCAATTATTTGAATTCTTCTCCAATGGGACATCAAAGCTTTCGTCATTTGACTCATTACGTAATCTCAAACTACTTAGCATATGTTGAGTAGTGAGTAGTGAATAGTATGAATCAATCATTTAAATTCTTTTCCAATGGGAGATCCAAGTTTTCGTTATCTGATTCATGAGACGTAATTCCGAGCTAATTAGCATATGTTTCACAGAATATAATACCAATAATATATGTATTTAACATAGCAACTTAGAAGCATTGCACTATAGAACATAGCAACATTGTTAGAGCAAGAAGGCTGTCTTTAGAAGTACAAGCACCCAAAGATACGTATAGAATCATCTTCGTAAATGCTGCAAAACTCAGTCGCCTGGCGACAGGCTGGAAAATGTAAGCGCAGACCGTATGGAGATACACACACATAGATTATAAAAATTTTAACGGTTCTGCGCGCGGGCGCTCATCGACGGAAGCGCCACAGCACGTGCAGTCATCCGTCCAGGGCGTTCGTATTCCGGAGTAATCTTAATATTCTTAATACGTTTTACAGCGTTGCCTGGCAAATGGTTATGCATAACCCGGTGTATTGCGGATACATAAAATAAGTAGAGCGTATGAGCTTAAGAGAGAGAGAGAGAGAGAGAGAGAAGTATCCTCATTGTTAAGAAATACGCAGTGACGATGCTGCCAAGCCATAAAACAACTCGCTTCTAACTTTTCTACGTCCTTCTTCTTTCTTCTATTCTTATTTCTTGTTTGAAAACAAAAGTTTTATGGATATTAATTAATTTATTATTTTGTACGTCTCTTAGCTGGGAGATAAAGAATGCTGTTAGGTGAACATTATATCGCGTGTAAGATTGTACTGTTTTCTATTTTATATGTATGCATTTATGAGATAGTGTTAAGTATGTAAATAAATCTGTAAAAATTTGTCGAACCTCTTTTTCATTTCTCCCGTGCCTTCACCATATCGTAATCGCGGTTGTGATATATCTATTATATTCTAAAAGGCTATGGAGGAATAAACGAACGATTAAGTTTTTCGAAGTGTAAATCTCATCGAATCTTGTTCTTGGTGCGGTAAGGCTAAAATAAATACTATTCTACTAATACAGGATTTAATGTGGGTCACCTGGTATGCAACAGCTCGCATCCGGTGGCTGTTAAAAATCGAAGCGACTGTTTCCGCTGAGTATCGTAATAGAACGGTCGCTCGGCACCTGAGGAAAAGTTACCATTTTCTTCAAATGGTTTTTCAACCGGTTAAAAGGCTGCGGATATTTCGAAACTCGTGTATTCAGCTTCCTGTACGTACGGCGTAGATGCGCACGTGGACGCGCCGGAGTAATTCCTGATATCGGTGGCTGTCGATCAATCGATGCGTACCGGGTTTCAATAATCCAGCGGATTGTTATCAGGGCTCGTACATAAAACTCGGCCGGGATATCGCGCGACATACCGATGATAACCGATCGAATTTTAATCGGGGCACCTCGTCGGATTGGATGGCTGACGTGTGATCCTCTCGAAAATCCACGTAAAGCGTGATATGCCAGAAATCAATCCCCGATGTGTCATCGTCGACTTTGGCCTTGCGCGCAGTAATACGTAACCCTGCGCCCTCCGCCCTTTTGACAAACGGGTCTGCACGAGTGTGTCGGTCGAAGCGAAAAAATAACTTTCGGTGAAATCCACTGTGTCAGAGTTCCGTTCGATCGTGTGTCTTCTTCATATTTTAGAGACACTGCAGTTTTCGTTTTATTCCAAACAATTTTAAATGAATGGAAAATCGTTTATTTCATGCATTTGAATTTATGCTTATGAATTTTAGGGAGATGTTAAATTTTTGTTCGTTAACTTAAGAATTATTGGACTCGACAAATCTTCTTTACACCTTTTGATACTATTTTATCTATCATTTCATTTCGTGAAATATTTCATAAAGTTAATTAGACTATATAATAATCACAAGTTCTGTTTAAACGTTGGCAAGGAATCTGAGATCGTCTAAGAAAATATGAATGGAGAAGGGATTATGAATAGAGAATCTCATTTAATTAAAAAACTCTACTAGAGATTCGCGAGGTTGTTTTTAGGCAACGTAATAAGATGAGATTTCATTACATTCCTTCATTCATATTGATAAAATAAGAACGAAGAGGGAATCTTGCATTACTTAAATTACATTTACCTTCAGAGATTACGATCAAGCGATAAGTAACACCGAGATTTCGAGAAGCCATAGATAATACAATTACGTAAGGCGGTAACCTTGAGATAAATACGACGTGCCTAACGAAATCTCTATTTCAGATTTTCACTTAGCTGTTTAACTTCATAATAAATGTACAAACTAGTTTAGCCAATGGTGATTAAAACTCTTGTCACTGTCAAGTGGGAACTGTTTCTCTGCAGAAAGCAAAAATAAGTAGACTTGACGATGAAAAATACGTCGACTGTTAATCAACTAAGTACTGATTTAAGATTTTGCATAAGGATTCTTACTCATTACTCACTCTACTGATTCTACTCACACTACTCCCTTATTCCTTACTCCGTTCTCTTTCAACATCCCATAGAAAATGAAGTTCTTTCACCCAACATTAAAAAAGTAATTATATTTTGAAATGTGTCTGACCATTAATGGGAGCCACCATAGAATTCTTCGTAAACGCTTCGTAAGCACTTCTCGTAAATCCCGAATGTAGTTGACTCGAACATTTTCTTACTACGTTTTACATTTTCCCTGTTTAACTAGCGAGAAAATTAGAAAATTATGTATCCACGTCGTTCCCCATCCCGTTTGAAAAATGTTGTCTGAAAGGTCACGCATTCTTTGCCGAGTTCGTTGAAATCCTTCTACTGGGTAAACGTCTTCCATTACGTTTCTCCACTTACCGTGGAACGAGCCACGCTCTCCTTCACCGATACAATGTTTCATTCAATTTTCATACGAGCCCGACAACTGCTTTCGAAACTTCGTGCCAAAGAGGCGAATAAATGTACCGTGAGAAATGAAAAAGCTACGTTTAACAATTTATTGTCACTCTACATGTACTACAAATTGGGCTTATTATTGTTTGTTCTTTTTATCAACCTGCTTCGTCAATGTGCTCCTCCAGTGATTCAATAACATTTCAAAAACCTCTTTATTTGTCATTGTTTTTTGCACGACGACTGCAGACAAGGAGTTCAGCCGAAACGCGGAACGAACGACCGTCAGGCTATTAAAAGGAATTCAATGCCGTCAACCGTAAAGGTAATAGAAACGAATCGTGGGCGAATTGGGACGAAAGATAAAAGGGAACTCGATGTGCGAACACTTAGGGTGCCTTAAAAGGTATGCATTACAAGCTCACGCATGATCCTCTG